CCTTCTCTCTCTCTCTCTCTATATATATATATATATATATATATAAAACCTGATAAGTAAATTCCGACAACAAAATTACACGACACCGACGATGGAAGAGGTCAGAATTCGGTTACTGGCAAACCAAATTCTAAGCCTCTCCACAGTGAAACGTTCTAGTCCTGTAAATAATGGCTGACAGGTTCTATTTGGGCATTTTTTTTTTTAAAAAGTATTATTCCTGAAAAAAATTCCCAGCTTGTTAACCTGATTTATTTTTTCTTTTAATTTAGTGTGAGGTGTTTTATCCTTATGACCTAACATACAATTACCATACGGATTCTTTATTTATACTGTAAACTCGAGATAGTATGTTTGAGCTTTAACGATCTTCACTTTAAGAAGAAATAAAGAGTTCGAATATTTTTACTCTTTTCGGTCTCATATAATGGGAAAAAAATTGAGTTAAAGTTAGTTAGTATCATTTAATCTTATCAATTTTATTTGAAAAATATTTTTTTTAAACTACTTTTCATTATAACTAGGTATCAAGGAGAAAAATGAATTATTAGAAATAAAACGTTTAATTAAATGAAAAGTATTATAGATATAGAATCTGTCTATTTAAATTTAAAAATAAATATCTGTAAATAAGTGCTTTTAAAAAATTAATTTTTAAAATATAGATAGGAGTTGATTCTTGTAATATTATGTTGTTGAGAGGATAATTTTTAGTATGTTGGTGGTGGTAGATAGACTACATTTTTTTTAGTTGTTTTCTTCTCTCCTTAGATTCCTAGGAGCATTAGAGTTGTGGTTTTTGTTGCTAGGGACATTTAGAGCACTTGAAACCAATAATTAAAGTGGGTTTGTTTCGAAGCTTCCTCGAAGCTTAAAGTTCTTCTCTTCCATTTTCTATCATCTCCTTCTTCCTCTCCTTATTGCGGAAGCTTGGAATCAAGGTAAGGGAAGCTAGAACTTAATCATTTATAAATTTGTTTGTGCATGTTGCTTGAATTCCCTAGAGATTTATGGTTGTGTTAATCAAGTCAAAATGGGTGACAAGGGGATTTGGGGTTTTATGTTCTTAATGAAAAGTTGAGAAATTGATGATTTCTTAAGGTGTTGTTGATGCTTGTGTATTTTTCTTTGATTTCTAAGTTGTATGTTGTTCGAATTGGAAGATTTTGGGGTTGCATGCATGGATTATTGCATAAGTTGAACGAATTTGGAGGTTGGGTGGTATTCATGGTTGTTAGGGATGTTCTTCATTGATGTTGAAAATTTTGAGTTTTAAGGCTGAGCATGGATTTTGACGCTCAACATGAGGATTGGGAAATGTCTCTAAAAGACTAAGGTTGAGCATGAGATTTCACGTTTAGCGTGATTGAGGCTGAGCATGAGTTTTACGTTTAACATGAAACCTGGGTGAGCCTCTAAGAGGTTGACGTTGAGTGTGAGATTTCATGCTCAACATGAGAACTTGAAATTTTCTTATATAACTCTCTAGAAGCATGAGGTTGAGCGTGAGATTTCACGCTCAACGTGGAGACTTAGTCAAATATTTTTCTTTTTTCAATTGAGTTGGTTATTTACCTGATGGATAGGTTGGGTGATGACACTTGTTGTTGGAGTTGTTTTATTGCTTAATGATGATGAATATATGTTGTATGTAGAGTGGTGATAATAAGCATTGATATGTTATATTTGTATAGTTTAAATGGTGATAAACATTAATATGTTTTATATGATTGATATGCTATAAGTTACATGGTAGGAGTGTTGAATAAACATTGGTAAGCTATTGTTGAATGAATTGTTGAGCATTGATATGTTATATTTGGATAAATTATTAAGCATTGGTGTGTTATTCTTGTTTGAGGTGTTAACCATTGGTATCTATACATGATTGATGTGATTTGATTTCTACATGCATTGACTTGGGATAATGTATATAGAAGATACATGTTGAGGTGTTGATGCTAAAAATGTTGCGGGTATTAAAACATGTTGATTGACTTATAACTAAAAGAAAGAATGTTATTTAGAAAGTGAAGATCCCATATAGGGAATCTTGTTTTGATGCTTTAGGAGGCTGATTGTTGAAAACCCTCATTAAGTAGGTGTGAAACTCTTGGAATTAATTTTATTGAGTCTCCTCTAGGTCCTTAGTCAATGTAGAGTAAGATATGAAGTTAAGGGCTATCACCCTTAACTAAGTGTTGAAAAGGTTGTGTGGTTTCTTATGAATAATAAGTGAGCTAACTCCATATGTGACTTAGTAAAGTATGTAAAGGTTGTGGTATGTCTATACCCAGCTATATTATTTTTATCTATGGAATCAAACTTTTTCAGTGTAAGTGGTGACACCCAATAAATCAGATGAGGGATTGGTATCCCATTTTAATTGTGGATCCAATAGACACATGGTGTGAAAGTGATCAGGGTTGATTCGGTAGGGTCAAGTCACTTAGACTACTCAAGTGTATTAAGAGATTTCCATAGGTGAATGTGTGACGACGCATTAATTGGGGTATATGCATATGATGTTTTGTTGATTGGTGTGTTCATACACGTTGGTTGAACAACTTACTGTATGATAATTACTTGGTGTGAGTTTCATTGTTTGGTGTGTAGCTTTCAAACTGGTTGTTGTTTTAAGGATTGGTGTATGATATGAACCTTGTGATGTTGTTGGTTTGAAGGTTTACATGTGGGTGAATAGTATACATATTTTATTCCTATACTTGTATGTTTTTAAGATTTAGCTTATCCTTGTGTGTTTTCCATGTGGTATGGACTGTGATGATCATGGTTTTCATGAAAGTAGAGCAGGATTAGCTAGAGAGAGTTTGTGGAGCTATTGGTAGGCCATGTTTTGATTGGCAACGTAGTTGATAACTACTTTTATGGTTGTGTAGTTGTGTTTTGACTGGTACATAAGGTTTTATTCTTTTTTTTTATACCGGATAAGTGTACATATATTATATATATTTGTATAGTCATTTTTAGTTTTTTATGTTTACATACATGTTAAAATGTGCATATCCAATTACTTAGAGCCTATATTCTTCGACATGAGAATATTTCACTGTTAGTAGTTGTAATCCATAAGTGTGATAATCATAACGGGTCATTATATTACTTAAAAGAATAGAAAATTACTTTAAAAAAAAGTTTAAACAAACCCATCAAAAAAATAATATATATATATAATTAAAAAGAAATTCTTTAAAAAAAGTTCAAACAAACAAACTTATAGTAAAATTAAATAAGATCAAATTAGTTAAATTATGAAGACCAATACCTATCTGATTTTTTTAGCTTATTTACAAAACTAGAGTGTGATTTAGATTTAAAATAAATGAAAACCAAAGTAAAAATAATTAATGTTACATTAATATTAATTGTCCTTGGATTATTCTATATTGCACCCTCTTATCTTTCACTTTTCATATATATATATATATATATA